CCCCCCCCTCCCGCGCCGGGCCCGTGGGGAAAGTGCGGGGGAGGGAGGCGATCGGGGCCACCGCGGGGTGGTTGGACTCGCTCAGGTCCGGGTAGGGGAAGTGCGACACCACCACCACCTCCGGGCTCAGCAGCTCGTAGTAGTCGTCGATGTCCTGCGAGACGACGCACTTGGCGATGACGGACAGGCCATGCTCGAGCTGTTCGTACTCCATCGCGATCTAACAGCGAAGTAAGAAAGACCCACCGCGTTTTGCTTCGCGGTGAAAGGAGGAGAAAGAAGCCAAATTAACAGGGGGACCCAAAGAAAAGCAGCACGGGCCTCCAGAAGGCCAGGGGGGGAGTCGGCCTCGTCTAAGGCTTGAACACAACAGGGTATAGTAACATGTATAACATATGAAAAAAAAATATTAGTCGCAATTCATCGGACTCACAATATTTAAATACTACATCGTATTGCGTTACACAAGCCCAAAAGTGCGGAGGGCGGAATATTTCTTTTTCAGTACGTTCAACAAATCAATAGACATATTTTACGTAGTAGCTATAAGCAAATCAAAGAAATTCTACGACCCAAATTAGCTATGAAATAATCTGCTCTTTGTATTTTGAAAGAATAAAATGAAAAAACGACGAACTCAAAAGAAATTGCAATCACTTTCACCCTCAGCACAGTGTGGGCATTCCTTTTTTCTTTTTCTATTTTATTTTGTTCACTTTTGAGTTTTTGTTGGTGCATTCATCCCCTTTTCTAGGTTTCAAAACACATGAGCTTGATGCCAATAAATGGCCCATAAGCGATAAAACAAAAAAACATAACAACACAAGTAGATAGCTAGAGGAATTTTTTTTTACACTAAAATACATCAAGCTTGGGGTAATTGTAAAAAAAAATCGCTTACATTTGTAAAAAAAAAAATAGTAAGATCAGTAAAAATATAGAACTCAAACGTAAACATGTGCAAATGCTTGGGAAGGAAAAGAATACGAGTAAGTAAAGTGGAGACAGATAAGTTATACGTAAATGTCTCAAAAATAAATATGCAAATCCCATATCCCACTCTTCTCCCTGGGTGTTTTTTTTTTGTATAGGTGATCTCCTCCTTAAAGTTTTGGGGTATTATACTGTGCACAACATATTTTATGCACACATCTGTGAAGAAAGAGAGAGAGAGAGAAAACAAAAGAACAAATGGTTAGGGGAGACACGTGACTATCGTTTCTTTCTTCCACTTTAGTCAATTCTTCTGAACAATGGTAATAGCAGTAAGGTCTAGTTTGTCGGATCATTAGCAGCCAATAGTGATCGAATATAATCAGCATTTTGGTACTTCATCGACAGTTCTACCTGTTCTAGTTTGGTCTTGGATATTCTATCCATTTTCGCCTCCGTTGCGCACAATTCCACCTCGGCGAGTCGTTGATGCTTCTCCACGTATGCCTCCTCGTGCGTGATGCCCTGCTGGCGTGCGGAGACGAACGGATGGGCAACCGTTTTCGTGAAGAACGACAACTCCCTGTTTGAATCCGATATCGACTGATTGCTGACCACCCCCTCCCTGGGCTCTCTATCCTCGGCCTTCATCACCGCATTGAGCACGTCATTGCACTCGCCAGGGCCGCCCCTGGCCTTGTCGGCATTCGCGACGTCCGCGCTTCGCTGCGTGGCCTGCGCCGCCTTCGCGGACTCGGCCATCAGCGAAAGCAGCTCTTGTTTGTCCAGCTGAAGGGGGTCGGTAGTGGTGAGTTGGTTGTGGCTAAGAACGCTCTGCAGGACGGGATCGATATCCGCCTTGCGCTCCTGCTCGATCGTCTCGAGGTAGGTGATATACGCCAAGACCTCCTCGAGCTCCCGCCCGGCCTCGGCGTACCGCTGGGCGTGCTGCTCCATCGTGGGGTCCAGCGTCTCGATCGCGCACTCCTGATTGAGCTGCATACTTCGCTGCGTAAGCCGCATCCGATCCACCTGGACGGAGCGCTTGGCCCTCGCCTCCTCCGAGGCATAGGTGAACATCTCATACCGACGGACATAATCCTGCGATTCGCTCTGGCTGAGATCCTCGGCGGCCTCCTCGATGGCGCTGAGGCGCTTAAGCAGCTTCGGGGTGAAGGCCTCGACGTACTTTTTGTAAACCCCCGCCCCGTGCTCCCAGTTCTGGGCGAGGATGTGAAGCTCCCCCAGGCGCTCGCTGTGCTCTTCCTCGGCCTTCAGCCGGGCCAGGGTCTCGGTGTAGATCCGAGACCGCCGCTCCCGCTGGGACATGTGCTCCATCACGAACTGCACCTTCCGCCCCGCCGCATCGCGAAGGTGGTCCAACAGCCCTCGAATCTGCTCCCAGTGGCCCTTTTCCTCGGCCTGAAAAGCCTTCAGCGCCTCCTGCGCGGCGAGCTCCGCCTCCTGGTCCTGGGCCTCGAGCTTGCCGAGCTGGGTGTGGGTGGCCCCCATCGCGGCCTGCAGGGCCGCGAGATCCCGCCCCACCTTCAGCAGCAGCGCGGCGGAATGCCCGCGAAGCTTCCCCGCGGCGCTCTCGGCGCCCTCCAACTTCGTCGAGACCGCCGCCCGCATCGCGCGGACGTCGTCGTAGTAGAGCCCCACCAACTCCATCCGCGCTTTATTCGCCAAGAGCATCTCGTTCGAGAGGTCGATCTGGGCGTGGAGGTTGCGGAGGGCCTCGATGGGGTCGCGGCGGTAGACCGCGGCGTCCTTCCGCGACTTCGCGTCCAGCACCCCTGCCTCCATGTTCTGGAGGAAATCGTGGCTCTTCTGAAGCTCCCCCAGGGCGTACTCCCCGGGGTTGAAGTGATTGCTCTCGTGCAGGGCGACGGCGGCCTTGCTGGGAAGGAGCCTCCCTCTCGGGCCCGTCGTCCCCTTCACGAGCGCCGTCCCCGAGCCCTCGGATTGGTCGAAATTCTCAATCGAGAAGCACGCGATCTGGTCTAACACCTGCAAGGATTCGAGATATTCCTCCAGCGGGGCGATCAGGTGGACCGAGGTCAGCAGGGAGTTGAGGGCGTATTGCACACTATCCAGCGGGAGCCGCGGGACGGCCTCCGCGTGCTCGATCACCGTCATGGGAGTCAACAATTTTAAATTCTGAATGAGGTGGGAGGCCGGCAAGGTGAAATCCTCCACGCATCGGTAGCCCGTGAGGTAGGAACGAAGCCCATCCAAGGTGTGCGCGTTGATCATCGCGCTGTCCACCGGGTATTGCATCATCAGCGTGCGAAGCTTATCCACGCGATCCTCCCAGTCTTTCACGAGCTTCTCCAGCTTAAAGCGAAGCTCCGTGTTGAGAACGGCCTGCTGGGAGCCGTGGTAGTGCTTGGTCGCGAACTTGAAGGGGTTCTGAAGCTTCTGCTCGACTAACGGGTCGTTGTCTTCGCTATCAAAAAGACCGTTGGGGCCGGGCGCGACCGTCAAAGTATCCGCGGTTCGGGTTAGGGCGGAATTCACGCGCATTCGGTCAAGCATCGACCCACGCCCCATTAACTTTCCGGCACCTCGCACGGGAACCAAACTGTCCTGTCCGGGCTCAGCGTTGAGCATCTCGATGGCGTGCGCCGGCGGCCGCGGGATCGGCGCGAGCGGTTTATCGCGGTAGCCCGCGTGCTCGATGGTGGTGGCGTAGGGACGCCGCTCGGGGTACATTAAACGCGATGGGGGTATGTGGTTGGGGAAGCAATAATAATACCTATGCCACGGATATCTATCTCGGGATAAATAAAAAGAGAGGAAAAGGAAAAGATGCTAGTGACGTCTATTTATTATTTATTTATTGGGGGGAGTATCGATGTGTGGAAGGAAGTTCATAAGCAAAACCAAAAATAGTCATCTGTGGAATAAAAATTTCTAATCAAAACCCTATATCCAAATGGCCTGAATCGCATCACAGATAGGCTAATGACCAATTACTACGTTGTCGGACCGCCCTCAATAACGCAGATCCTGCGATCTTTCTGATGGGCAGAACCGGTATCGTCATTGACGTCGCGCCTCCGGTGGGAAGTGAAAAAAATGAGGAATCCTCGAACCATGCCAACGTTCGTCCCACACACGGCACGGTAGAAATTTTCTAACATTACCATGACAACTCCGTGAGTTTATCAAACACTCATAAACATTGAAAAGCAGAACATCTCTTTCCAAACACCTCTGCTGCGAGGATTCTAAAGGGCCAACCCGATGGGCTATGCGTTGTTTCGATTCGCATGGAAGCTACATCGCATCTTTTCATTGACGTCAGTAAAAAAAAAACGCGATAGGGTTCAACGACTACGGACGCCCCTAATGTGGGACTATCACTCCAAGGGCCGCTTTTGCACCGTCCTCACAGAAATCTCAGGCCTCGGCGAGCAAAACGCCGTGCTGCTTTCCCGTAGGAATGTTTTTCTTGGACTGATAAAACACCTCGTTGTGGGTTTGTAAAGGAAATTATAAAGGCTGCTCGGACTGACAAGCTGCATGAAAGAAAATCATCCTTGAATATTTTTTAAACACCTTGGGGTTCGAATATACAAATGCAGGTATATGTATATGTTCCAGTGATTCTGCATGCCACGGGGTTAGACCGTGGAAAAGGGGGAAAGCATTACCTACGATGAAATGAAAAGATAGACATAAGGAACATACTATACCATAGCATTTAGATCAAAGCGGCGAATGAAAGACAACAGAAAAAAATGGAATCGGAAGAAGTGGTGTCCTTTTTTTTTTTAGGCTTACATTTCCTCACTATAATGTGGAATTGTATCTGTTTTTTATCCCCTATCAATAGGTTGTATACATTAATCCATCATCAACATCCAGTTCATGATTGAGAAGTGTGTTGTATCTCTGTGAGACTCATCTCATATCCCAAACGCGAGGGAATGTCGAAACCTTTAACTGGAGAATGGGTTAACCAACGCTTGTTTACATCGAAAGCTAAGAATAAATATAAAGAACAGTTGTAATTCAAAGAGTTCAAAATCATGGAGTCATGCGATGAAATGAACAATAAGCAAAAATGCAAAAAAAAGGAGAATGGAAACTATATTCGATAAGATTCACGTGCGGTTACCGGGTATATAAATAGATAGGTATAGATAAAGGTCACCACACGATCTGTTCCTTTTCAGGATTCGCTATCACTTTCTCAGCCCACGTCATTGCATTGAGGAGGGCACTTATTGTTTGACGCTGCTTGCGCCAGCCGCTGCACAACTGCTTCGCCAAGGAGGGTACCCTCGAGCTCCAGGCACGTAATTCGGCGATTGCCCTTTACCAGCCTGGAGAAATGAGGCGTCGACGGGAGGGTAATTTTGGGGTTATTCCTCAGCGAAACGGTCTCCACGGAAGGGTGAACCACCAACGCCTCGCAGAGGTTCATCGCGTCGACGTTGTTGAGCGACATGTCGTCAAAGACCACGCGACGTAGGCTGTGGAGGTACTTCAAAAACCCCAACACCGCGACGAAGCCGTTGGGCCCGACGTAGTTCGACGTCAGGTCTATCTCCTGCACGCTGTCGGTGAAGTGGGGGTCGGTCGGGAGCTTTTTCACGAGGTGGCTGTTCGGGCGGCAGTGCTGGAGGTCGCAGCAGTGCGTGTAGACGTCGCGCAGAGATGGGCCAAGGTACAGCTCAACCCCATCCACCGAGTTCGGCTCCTCCATCTCGGACTTCTCGACGGAAGAGCTAACGGGAATCAGCTCCGCCGCTGGATTCGCCTCGTTGGGGAAATTGGGGATGGTATCGCCAACAACGGCGTCAATCCTGTCGCTCTCATCCTTTACGAATGGGAGTGGGGCTTCAGAAGAGGCCATGCGGTAGTTGGGTGAGTGAGAAAGACTACACGGGTTGGGTGACATCCCCGACCTGGTCGAGGTCGATCGCCCGCTCTCGGTAGCCTCAAATTTTGTAGGAAGGTTCTCAAGAGTTGCCATCTGACCCGCACTCTCATCTCTGATAAATACCGCGGTTGGGCTCCCCTCCTTGGACGCGGCGTTTGGATCCTCATCGTTGTCGGTCCCGTCGTGGTACTCATCCTGGAGGTGAGGAACACAGCTCACACTAATCAGCGACTGACTGTGCAGGAGGTCCACGGCAGCAAACTCGGCGTCACTTCCGCATACCACCACTGACCCGGCGACTTCAACAACGCCGGATGTTTTTTCGGGTAAAATACTTCCACACGGCACGGTGAATATGCTGTTCTCACGACCCGAAAAGGCTGATCCCGCATCATAGATCTGAGCTGACATGGACATGAAGTACGCCATGTTGTTAGCGAAATCTTTGGCGTCGGATAAGCGATAGGATCGCCTATGCGGCGCCCCAGTGGTCACGACGTGAGGAATACTCAAAGTATCGCACTCCACATTGCCCCCAACCCAGTTCACGCTAGCCCTGGAGCTAAAGCACGACTGGTCCTCCATCATCGCCGCCATGCCCTTCCGCATCCAATCCGACTTAAAATGCGGCGACGGCGGCCAGCGAATCTCGGTAGCCGCGCCCTCTGCGCTCTCACCGGAGACCCCATGGCGCACGCCGCTCGAGGGCTCGCACACCTCAATCGCGGCGCCGCTCTTGCCCTCGTCATGCCGCATCGCCTCACGCTCGCGCATGAGTTGGAGATGCCGCGCGAGCATCTTCGCCCCCTCCGGTGTCCCCACCGCATGCGCATAGGCGGCCTCCAGATCCGCCTCGAGCAACCGCACGTTCGGCACGGCATCGCGGCTCACGACGATCGGGCGGGCGCCCTTCTGCTCGTAATACCGCACCCCCATCAGAAGCTGCTGAAAGAGATAAAGGTGCATCCCAAAGCCCCCGTTCCGGTGCTTTGTGAGGTAAAGCCCCGTCACGCCGTAGCTCCCCACCAAAATCGACACCACCATCGCCTTCACCACGCACTGCATGGGCTCGTAAAAAAAGGTCAGGAGATGGCTGCGGCCCGTCCGGCCCCCGATCTCTACTGTCGCCGCGGGCCCGCTTAGTGTGGCGTCGGGAAACACATCCAGCAGACGACGCATCTTCAGCTCGCTGAACTGGTCGGTGGAAAGGACGCTGGGGTAGTTCATCCGCGTGACGTCCTCGACGTCAAGACACACCACCACCTCGTAAAGCGCGTACCGCTTCAGCCCGGTGAGCTCCTCGAGCGCGGGGTCCTCGAGGAGCAGCTCGTGAAGGTGCAGATCGAGCGTCATGCAGGCAATGGAACCCACCCCTACGGTTTTCGCGGGCGAAAAATCGGGTCGCAGGGTCATGGGGTACATCGGAAAGTAGAAGGATACAGCGGCATCGCGATCGTCGTACATCAGCTCCCCAAATAATTCCTGTTGCTCTGCCAGAAGAACGGATGGAATTTCGTGGTAGGTCACGTCGACATTCAGCCGCAGCCGTGCCTTACTTGTGTAATAAGGCAAGAATAGGTTCGTGAGATAGCCGCACAACTCTTCCTCATCGGCGCACCGGACGACAAAGAAGTAGCCAATCTGATTCACCACCGTTCCAATTCCATAAGCGATATCATTTGTCAGCTCTGATTTATTATTCAATGCAAAGCGAAAATGAAAACAGGAGTGTCTACCGCCAAGGCGGTAGGGGCAGGCTAGTTTGCTGCCCAAACGCAGCTGCCGCAAGTTCGTGTCCCCGTCAACAGAGGAAACCCGCATCTTCGCCAGAACGAACTTCACGCAACGCAAGCAAAAGTCATGAAGTGTAGGGAGCTGCGGCACGATGGGTGCGTAATAGGACTCCACGTACTTTGCCTTCTCTACCCAGCATTCATTGAGTACACTCGCGCTATCAGTACTAGTGTGCATTGCTTCTCGCGACGTAATGACACCCTCCGAAATCTCGAGCTGCTTGCCAGTAATATTGCCGGAGGTGCCTATCTTCTCCAACTCTTCGCCACCATCGGCAGCTCCGATCTCAGAATTCAAAGGCTGACTTGATGTTTTGCTGCGAGTGTAATATCGCGGCCTACCATGCACAACACCGGAGAGGTCTGTATAGTGTAAAAATGGTATAAGAGGGCTGTGAGTCACGTCAGGATCCATCGCCCCGAGAAGCTCTCGTATCTCGGAAGGGTCTATGAAGGTCGGCTCCCATTGCGGTACCCACTGCACCTGCAGACGCGCAGCCTTGTGTGAGAACGAGAGAGAAAACTTCCACTCCCGCCGCATGCCCCCCGTCGTTACCGCTCCATCGATTGGAGCCTCGGAAGAACTCGTGATGGGGTCATCGATGTTGACCTTTAACTTGTCCTGATCGAGTTTGGCGATGGAGGTCGCGTGGTGCACCACATCGCCATCACTAAAGCGAACCTCAGTGGCGCCGGCGCCACTAAGCATCGAATTGCAAGATTCTTGATGGGATACAAGGGAGATGTGCTGCACACTCGGTATAGCTTCGGTCATCGTTCTCCTTCACTGCAATGGGAATGTACACAGTCACAGTCACAGGTACAGGTACAGATACAGGTACAGGTACAGGTACAGACAGTCACAGGTACAGGTACAAATACAGGTACAGGCAGTCACAGATACAGGTACAAATACAGGTACAGGTACAGGTACAGTTGCAGGTTTAGGTAGACAGGCACTAGCACTGGTACAACACAGACACAAAAAACCGCAGGCTTGTCTTTAACTTTTCAACGAACTTTCTTCGCTGTTTTAGATTTTTGGGATTGGGGGTAAGTTTGGTTCGATGGACAACGCCTCTCGCACTACCACACCTTATTACGGTTATGTTTTTGAATGGGTTTTCTGTTGCTGCTGCTATAGATTTTGTTCTTTAAAGTTCTTTTGAAAGGCTAGAAAAGAGTAAAACAGGGCAGTGAAATAATAAATGAACGCAATATATAACGTACAAATCGACAAACGAAAGGTTTTGGAAGGAACACTAGGGACTAAACAACTTTTCACATTTTCTTTTTGATGTAGTTAGATGTGTAACCCCTCTCTCTGTCCTTTCGAGCAAACACATATGCTGTTTCTATCGAAACGCAAGAAATATAAAGAAAAGGAAGTTAAACATAATTTCATCAACTAAGACCAGTTCGGTATTTATTCAACAACTGAAAAAAATACGTTATAGGTGAGAAAATGGAAAGAAACAATGCATGGTTTGTCATCCAAATCCAAAGTTTGCATTCTCCTCATTTTAAACGTTCAGTAAGAATCATTACTGAATAAATATGACGCATCTTTCCGGCAATTAGACATAGTCATTATATATATATATATATATATTTATATATAACAACAATGTATCCCCTCAGAAAAAGGATAAGTCACGTCATAGGCTCATCTGTACAATAAGACCTTACAAATTGATGTCACCATTTCCTCTCGTCTTCTTATCAAACACGGTTGGCTGCGCGGTGATAGCAAAGTAGTTTATTCTTTATTTTCTTTTTTGTGTTTGTTTAACCGTGAGCGACGGAAACGGTGGTGGCGGCCAGATCCCCAAGCACATAGCGTCGTACAAAGAAGGTCAGCGTGAAGCCTAAGACAAAACACCATTCGTTCAGCCGCTGGTAGAAATTAATCGGCAGGGGCCCTAGGGAACGCGGCCACGCATTTCCGACGTCAGCGAAGGCACTCACAGAGTCCGCGGCCGCAAATAAAGAAGCTTGCGGGGGCGATTGCTGTAGAATAACGAGCTGCCCGATAAAGTAGACCCCCATCATCCCAGAAAATGCGACCGCCGTGGTATCCGCCGTAATTGAAGAAAACGTCATCGTTAATTGGAAAACGATGAGGAGTAGCCCACGCACCGAAGAGAGAATCATCCACACGTTAACCACCCACGCGAGGAGTTGGAGGATGGGGGTGTGAGGCCCTGATGAGGAAATGGCCACCGAATCGCCCGCGCTGGTGTAAAAACGGCGTGGAAATGTCAAAATGCGAAGCCACTGCAGAAGATCAACCACCCGCGTGAGGAGGTCCTGCAAGGCAAAAGTAGAGCCGGCGATGTGGATCACCGTCAAGGTGAGCTTTCCCGCGGCGTAGAACCCCAAGGCGAGGCTGGCGAATGCCCAAAACCGGCCCGAAATCCCTTTTCGCTGCGCTGTGGCCTGCAAAATCCCATCCACCGCCGTCGCGCTGAGAAAAAGAAATAACGAATGCTGGTGAAATCCAGCGATAACCCCGGAAAGATCCCCCGCATCCATAACGATCCGAGACGGGCGTCGGGCGCGCGGGGAATTGGAATTTGAATTTCCGGAAAACCCTCTTGACAAGTCCCTCCCTCCTCCTTCTTTTCCCTCCTCCGCGCGGCCGCAATGCGCGAGATGCTGCCGTTTAGAAGCGCACAACGCCAACGTCCGGCGCTGACGCCTCGCGAGGGCCCTCAACGCGGCCCTCAACTGCTCCCCTCGCTCGGCGTAGACGAAATGTGTGAGGAGGAGGTCATAAGGGGTGGAAAAAGCGGCGTAGCCCTCCATCAGCCCCCCCACCCCCACTCCCACCCCAGCGACCTTCCCAACCAGCCCCCCCCAGCACCACCTCGGGAGCCGGCGAATCCCCCCCACCCCCACCCAATACACCAACAATACTAATAAAACTAACAACAATAATAATAATAGGACGAAAAGGATCCGAAAGAGGAATAAAGAGAACCCCCCGAGTCGCCCGGCCCCCTGCCGGCGTCGACGCCGCTGACGCCGCGCGAACCCCCGGCGAAGCGGCAGGTACACCAACAAAACCGGTATTCCCAGCAAATGAACGAGCAAAGCGGAAAATAAAAAGGAAAAAAGCGCGTTCGGGGGATGCCCCACCCCGAATAGTGAAGCCATCCCCAACCCACCCACATTCAACATGGGATCACGTAAAAAAATCGCCAAAAGCCCCATCGACAGCGCAAAAATCGACGCGAACAGAAACCGCGCGAGGGCACTCTCCACCACCTGCACCATCACGAGCCGCATGAAAAGGGACCCAATGTAGTATAAAACAGCATAGACCACGACGCCGATGGTGGTGGAAATAATCAACGACATGGGCTTTTTTCTTCCAGAAGTCCCCTCGTGGTGGAATTTCCCTAAAGGAAAAAGAAACCCCCTGAGGAATATTTAGACGTCGAAAGCTATCTTGTCAGTCGGATTAATCCTCCGTCCTGTCGTGGCTAGTTTGTGGTGTTCTATCATACTCATAGTGTGGTTCCACAGGACAGGGAACCCTAAAATGATTTTTTTCTTTTTTTGAAGCGATATATTGAATTATTAAAAAAAATAACTGTAATCGGAAAAAAAAGGGAGGGGAAAAAATGGCACCATAGGCTGGCTCAATTATTGGTCTATTCTTTATCCACTCTATACCACTTCCTTATCTCCCTGCCGTTTGTAAGCTGATAAAAAAGAGCAATAGTGCGTATAACAATTCCTATAAGTCTAAGGAAATGGTCAAAAGGAAGTGGCCTTTCATAAATAACTCAACGTATACGCTTTACATGCCTAGACGCGAGACGATAAGTTGACGCTTCATAAGCGGCATCCCCCCCTTCTCCCTCCACACACAAACGGGATATACACCCTATCAATCCACTAACTCCATCGCGCGCCCCTCTTTTCAGAATCCGCTTGATATCCTTTTGATGGGAATTACCCATAATTTTTTACTCCCACATCCCTTTTCGGGGCTATTGAATTTGTTCGACCCACACACCAAGCGCCCGCAGGATTATTCGTCCACGCCGTCCGAAGTGGGCGATTTCGCCTGCCGACGCCGATGCTCGCGGACGACGCTGTAAGGGATATTTTCCTCAAAATACCGCCGCCGCTTCTCCTCGGTATGCGAAGGATCCTCCTGAATCCCCGCCGCCACGCGGAACGATTCGAAAATGCCGTAAATACCGGCCAAAAGGCTGTAAACCAAAAGAAAAATCAACCCCACATCCACCGTGAACCACACCAGATGCCCCCACGTGGGATTGTCCGGGACCGCGTGGAGGAAAGGTTGAGTGAAAGAGCCGAGAATCGCGCGTCGACGCCGCGCGCGACTTTTACTTTGATAATCGTGAAGGTCCCCATAAAAATCGCCCCTTCGCCAAACCCCAAAAAAAAACGAAATCGAACCCACGCGCGAAGGCGATAATAGAGATAAACCGCCTCGAGCCCACCGTGAAAGGCATCAATAAAGAAATGTTGATAAAAAAAAGGAAAGCGGCAGGTGTGGAGTGAAAAAAGCGGCCAATCCAACCCCGCGCGGTCGTCGAGGCCGATCAACTCACTCATCGAGCGTAAAGAAGCGCCCCAGACACTCGTGGCGGCGGCCTCATGCGATGAGCCACCCCGCGCGGGAAACCCGGCGATACTGGGAAAGGTTAACAGCGCGGAGGTCACAAACCCCTCGAAAACGCCAAACCCCCCATAGCGAACCCCCTCAAAGCCGAAATACGGGAGAAAATCCCGAACGGGGCGAATCACCACCCCGCGCTGGACCCCCTCCGGGCAAAAAAGGCGAAGCGGCAGCCACCCCACCTCGCGCACGCGATGGTGGTCGGATTGGCAGGACGGCGTGAGGGCCCCGACGTGCAAAAAGACAAATCGCGCCTGCACACGCCCGCAGAAATCCCCCCCGGAGTCGACCCCCCAGCGGAGATCGCCAAGACGGCCGAGAAAAACAAAGTCCGGGGCGTCGAGTGGGAGCCCGAGCAGCTCCGCGGCCGTGCGGCGGAGGGCGTGGAGGTCGTCCGCGTCCTCGGGCTCGCGGGCCCCGGCCGGGAGAAGAAACCCCCCCCATCGTCCTTTGCGAATAAACAACACCCGCAGGGAGGACGCCGCCTCGGCACTGGCGTGTAACGACAGCAACGCCAGGAGATCGGGGAGTGACACAGAGGAGAAGGGGGTCCCAAAGGAGGAGGAGAGTGTCACAGAGGAGGAGGATGTCACAGAGAAGGGGGAAGGCCATGCCAGGCCT